GTCGTCACGGTGACGCGGCTGTTGGCATTGCTGCCTCCCAGCACTGGGGCCCTGGGTTCACTTCCTGCAGTGCTGTCTGTGTGGAGTTCATATGTTCTCCTCGTGTTCTCGTGGGTTTCCTCCCGCAGTCCAAAGACACGTTGGTAGGTTTATTGGCTTCTGGGATAACTGGCCCTGGTGTGAGTGTGTCTGTTAGTGTACTGTACGTACACCTGTTGCTTCCACTCCTACAGCCCTGTATTTTGTAAAGCAGAGACAAAATAGAATGATGGGTATTTTTTATGGCTTTCTTTTGTACATCACTGTACTAAAGCTGAGGTTTGTTTTTTGCGAGATATTTGGCCTTGAGAAGTTCTGTATAAAGCAGTTATTTAGAATGGGATGAAGCGGTTAGAAAATGAATGAGTCGCATAATCTGAGGTTATTGAGGTTTATTGATTTTTTTTTTAGACAACTTAAGATAACTTTGTAAGAACAACATAAAACCTATTGACATTAAAGAATCGTCAGTGAATTCTCAGAAATTTCAAGCATCCTCACTTTCCTGTAGGGGAAAGGAGTCATTGTTGGCTGCCCATTTTCCGAGCGGGGTTAATCAGGGAAAGCCAGCTGCCTGCTACAAGGAGAGGGCCCGGGAAAACAGGGCACAGACCGGACTGCCGGGCCGTGCTCAGACAGCACAGCTGGGCGCCAGGCATGCTGAGAGCAGGGGTGAGTACTGTACGTGCTGTCTGGAGGGAGTCGTGGAGCTGAAAGGGCTCATTCTGACTGTCGGATTGGCACACAGCTGGGGAGCCGAGCGGCGGTCTGGAGCACACCGCTTCCCTGCCTCTCTCAAGACCTGCCCGCGCTGCACAGCTGTCGACCAAGAGTCTGCGTTTAATCACGGGATTGCTTTCTGTTACAATGGTCTGTGCTTCATGCCCTCCACACCAAAAATGAGGGTGGCCTGATGCCATTATGTCGACTCTTGCATTTTTAATTTGTAATTTAAGCCGGTGTCCTGGTTAACGCACAGCCGCAGAGTCAGAAAGGTGCTGTGTGCCGATTTCCCCCCCAGCTCTGCTTTGAAGTCTTTTTAGAAGTTGTTTCTGGCGGCGTTGTGAATTAGAAGGGAAAAATGCTCCATGTTAGAAGGACAACAGAAAATGATGAAAAACTCCTGTATTAAAAGGGACATAAAATGCACGATGAGCCATGCTCCTCCAATAGGCTACTAGATAGATAGATACTTTATTGATCCCGTGAGGGAAATTGCAGAAGCTCTTTTTATTAGCTCTCTCCCCCCGTGTGAGTGTTTATGCAGTCTTTTCTCCTGAAACAATCATTTTGATAACTTGTCTATTATCGAGTGTAACAATAAAAGTTTATTTTTTTTACTCTGATCTGTGCGCATCTGACTTCATGTGGGGAAAAAAGTACAGTTATGTATTGCAATTGATCAGTTTGGACAATGTATCCTTTTTTGCTTGGTTTCCTTAAGCTGAGAAATACTGTTGTGCATTGTACTTGGAGTTTCAAAATGCACGTTCTTTAAAGTTCAGGTGGGTAGCTGCGTCAGCATGCGTAGGCTGCAAAGGAAAAAGTATAAACCTATTACTTGTAACAAATAAACCTATTACTTGTTCCTTTTCTTTAAAGTGTTCATTTCCCTTTGTCCCTCAGTAGCACAGCAGCAAAGGAGGCCAGGTTTGCAAGGCAGTCCCCTGATAACATTGTTGCAACCATACTCTCTGTGAGCCTAAAGCTCAGCTTTTCTGCCACAGTTGTATTGGAGATCTCCTCTTAACTTTAAAAATGGGAGTATAAAAAGTAAAGAAGCCTGTGTTCACTGAAGGGATAAAAAGCCTCCTGTTCCAGTGTCTGGTAAGTCTTGGGGCAGCTTGCAAGTCTGCTAGTGTGTGTCCTACACAAGACAGCAGCTTAAAATAAGGAGCAAATGACTGGTACTGCATGCTCCACAAAACCGATATGTTCATTTTAAGCATAGCAAGCTGTTCAGTTCACTGACATTGTTGTGTTGACATTGTTCTTGCTAAGAACAAGCTGTTCGTATTTTCTTCTTGTCTAGTGTATTTATGTTATGATGTTAATCTTCAAATGGCTTTTTGCACTGTTCTGTTTGTCAAGGGTTTCGTCTTGTTCAGAAAGCTGTTGTGACCTTGCCATGTTCCCAGAGCTTAGGAGAGAACGTGCTGTGATCTTTGTGGGACCAAGTAAGACTTGCGCAGCCAATCCGAGCTGGGGATAAGCCTTAACTTTGCCGAGCTGACCTCCTCTCCTCCTGGGTGCTGGTGCAGCACACTTGTCTATCAATTTACTGTTTGAAACCAGAGTGAGTTACGGCCTGCGGCTGAGTCTGTGATCTAGTCTCTGATCACAGGCTCCAAGTCTCCCTGAGTCATGTGCTTTCCACTCAGCCCCTCGTACTTCATATGACCTGATATAGAGCAGTGTTACACTGCTGGTGAACATCATGCATTATTTTAGTCACAGAGCAACAGGAAGTTGTGGGACTGAAAGGGAAGGGAAATTCCTTCAGACTGTTGTACATGAGATCACAACTAAATGAACATAATGCTTTGTAGAACAAGTAATAGGTTTATTCCATGCTGAAAAAAAGAAGAAAGAAAACGCAACGTTTCGGCCGTGAAGCCTTCTTCAGGTGTCACGGCTGAAGAAGGCTCCACGGCCGAAACTTGTTTTCTTTCTTCTTTTTTTCAGCATGGAATAAACCTCTTACTTGTTCCTTTGCAGCCTACGCATGCTGATGCAGCTCCCCACCTGAACTCCATAATGCTTTGTGGTTTTGTGCCTAAGGGAAGGCTCTCTTCTGCATGTTTTAAATTAAATGAACATATCTCTATTGAACGTCTAAGCCAACCCAAATAATATAAAGAAAATAAAACAGGTTATATGCTTATATTACATACAGAAAGCACTTGAAATAAAATACTGTATATCCACATTTGTTTTCAGTTTTCTTTGCAGTTTGTGAGGCCATTTAACTGTTCGCCCATAAAAGTGTTCAGCATGAGTGCTCAAGTTTTAAAACTATTTGCTTTTAGAAAGTGTGCCCTTCACGGTTCATTCCTTTAAATGGAACTTCATGGCAAGGGGGGGAGGGTTCCAAGGCAGTGTACTGTACAAAACAGCCCAGTGTACTGTAAATGAAATGACTGCTTAAGCCAAATTCCTGTGATTTTTCCCCAGTTTGTTTTCCTCTGTTAATCCATTTAAGTGAATAAAAATACTTCCTGGAAGGGCTGTGGTACTGCTTGAGAAGGTCCTTCCAGAAGTGAGACTGAATCCTGTGGTCTGTCCCAGTACATCAGCTAAGTGGAGATCTGAAACAGATTGGGGAGATTGTGAAGGAAGAAGTAAGAGGGTTATTCCATGCTGAAAGGAGACACAAACAGAATTCGGCTGTGGAGCCTTCTTCGGGTGTGAGAAAGACAGGGTAGACAGCAAAGATCAAATAGCATAGGAGAACAAATGCTGGGAGAGTGAAGGTCTTTGCTGTCTACCCTGTCTTTCTCACACCCGAAAAAAGCTCCACAGCCAAAACGTTATTTTCTTTTTTCTCCTTTCAGCGTGGAATAAACCTCTTACTTGTTCCTTTGCAGCCTACGCATGCTGACGCAGCTACCCACCTGAACGATCTTGAGATTATGCCTTGCTTGGACGTGATGGCTCAATGCTCATCACGATTCATGTTCTCTTTGCGTACTTTATCTGCTGCACGCGATGCAGTGCGAATGCTCTGTGTCCATGGTCAAAAAGGGAGCTAAAGCATAGAATCAGACCTTCGACGACATGATTGTATTGGCAGCGTAGTGCAAGGAGACCGTTCTTATAGCTTGCACATCTACCATATGCTGAGACAGCAGGTTTATTCTCAGTTTGCACTGCACTGAATGTTGTCTGCTTCTCCATGACTCAGAGGTACAAAACCCAAGTGTTGTATTTACAGGAGGCTTCATTACCACGATAGCCAATTTCTGTGTCTGGGTGTGATTTTATCTAACCAGATCATCGTGGCATCTGAGGCTGATGTTTTCAGAAGCGGGTTATTTCTGTAACCGCCTCAGTCAGCAGTAGCAAATAGAGAGATCTGAAGTGGGCACTGCGAATATCACGCCTTTAGCAACATCAGCATGGCTTCTCGGTGATGAGCTGTTGGCAAACGGGTAATCGTCACTTTATATCCTGTGTCATTTTGTTAATTTCCTCTCAAGCCTTTTGTGGTTGATGTGGTGACATTGACAGACAGCAAGGCGTGTTAGTATAACAATATCAGAACTTTAATTTTCCAAGCAATGATGAGTTAAACGTAAAGTAAAGGGCTCTGTAGTGACAGTTCTGCAAATCTGTAAAGAATTTCCTATGATGGTTTGTCCTGGCTATTTTAAAACCTTGAAAACAATTTCCCCACTTACCAACAACAAGGGATCGGATTAATGCGTTTTAGTGAGATCACAGAAATATCACCCGTGATTCCTCACGCCTTTCATTGTACCATGTTTCTCATCTGTTTTAATCTCAATCCGTTTTGTGTCGCACAATATTTAAGTTTTCTGCCATCATGTAATTCTTACTATAACTAGATGTTTGTAGCCAACATTGATCTAAACATAGCATTTTTGTAATAAACAGTTTTTTTACTTGCCATCTTTATTGCATATCCAAACTCTGAAAGTTTGTTCCCAGTACAGGCTGCTGTGCCCCATTAGACATGACCATCATTGCTTCAAAAAAACACAAATCGGTAGAGCAAAAACATTCCTGCACATGTTGCATTTTACTGAGATGTATACATTTAAACATGCTGTTCATGAATGCTGCTTTACTGAAAACAGCCACACGGGGATGCTAAAGTAGAATAAAAAAATTCTGATATGGATTCTTGATCATTTCAACTTCATAAAAACAACCACTTCTGCAATTTGACATTATGTAGCGGTGTAATTAGAGTCCCAGTGCGCCAGATCGTTTTGAGAGAGGCTGTGTGTGACGATCTTGCAATCCAGACAATTTGATACCTTATTCTAAGGAGATCACCCAAATCCTGTCTGTGCGTGCCCTGGCCCATGTTTCAGTGCATTGCTGAATTGAGAAGCATCCTGTTGTATGATTGTTACACAGTTGTCTTAGCAAGAGAAATGTAATTATAAAGAATGCATCAATAAGGAAAAAAGGACTTTTGCACACAACAGTGCTTAAAAGTAGAGGTGCGCGGTTCTTTAGTCACGCGGTACGTTTTAGACCGTACCGGTACGCTCGGTAATTTCCTGTAATTTCCGTCAGCTGTGCTATTTTTTCCGATTTGAACTAAGACATTCTACTGTTTACATTCATAAAATCTAATTTGACTCAAAGAAAAAACGACTGCGATAAAAATTTCGTTTACTGTATAAGGCTGAGTAAAAAGGGTCATACTAAAGGTATTTCCCTCATATCATTGGCTAGTAAGTGTAGAAATATGACGTGTTTCAGAAATTGCGGAAATGATCGCATCTGATTGGTCCAGAACGACCTTGACTCATCGATACGTGCATTCCCAATGACCCATTGAACATGTTTGTGCTGTTTTTTTCTAGTTTTTCTGATTCTACTGTAACTCTAGTCTGGAAGGAAGTCTAGTCTTGATCATGTCTTTAATTCCGTTACCATTAGACATGCTTTGATTTTTTTCCTTTTTTGGAAGTAAGATTGTCTTAAACTGTTTAAGTCAATGTAGAACAGCAATGTTTTAAGAAAGCATTGAGGATTAGTTGAAGTTTGTGGAAAAAAGATTTGACCGTTTAATGATTGACAAAAATCTTCATGTTGTTAAATTGTTCTGTTACACTGTTCAGTGTTATTTCTAGTTCTTTGGTTCCAATAAAACAACAAAAACATTTTCATTACTTTTATGTCGTATACAACCCAATATTCTTTACTAATCATGAAATCAAACTGTGAGAGAGTCTCCATATCTAAACATGCAAAATACTTTGCGGCATACCGCGGTATGTAATACGGTACATGCACGTGTACCGCGGTACGTTTTCCGGAGGCGGTACCCGCGGCGGAGCGGTGGCTGTGTGGCTCAGGATCTGCGCCTGTGGCTGGAAGGTTGCCGGTTCAAATCCTGCGGCCGGCAGAAGAATCCTACTCCGTTTGGCCCCTGAGCAAGACCCTTAACCCCCAACTGCTCCAGGGGCGCCGTATAATGGCCGACCCTGCACTCTGACCCCCAGCTTCTCTCCCTGTCTGTGTCTCATGGAGAGCAAGCTGGGGTATGCGAAAAGATGAATTCCTAATGGAAGAAATTGTATAGGGCTAATAAAGAAACATTACCCAATCCTACTTACAAGCACTGCACGAGCTCACCATCTCAGCTGCTTGCAGTTGGTAAGAGCTCTTTAACTGATGAATGGAAGAAGGGTGTCCCAGAGAGAGCCTGTTGAAGTGTGCAGAGAGAGGCCAAGGAGCCCTCTATTTGTGACTTCAACAGAAGGCTGAAATTGCACTGTTGGCACATGTTGTGCCATCATTAACAATGTGACGGGACTCCTGTGGTATGAGTTCAACAGTAACAAAGTGCGATTATTCTTAAAGCTGCTCTGTAGTCGTGCCGAGTGCGACCTCTGACTGCAGCAAGTGTAGCCTGTTGGTCATTGTACTAATAGCAAGTGACGGCAGGCGTGCATTATCATCAGTGACACTCTTTTGCAGGGCTCTGTTGCATGCAATTTAAAGCATACAGATGTACATTTAATCAATACTGGTTGCGTTTTCTTCACCTGTTGTACAATGTCAGTGTCCTGTGCAGCCACACGATGAAGAGGAGCTGAACACATGAAGAGCTTGCGAGTGCTTTATCATGAGGGCAGAATGGCCCCTCCCTACCTCTAGATCACATCTTCTTTCCGTCCAGGAGGCTGTTCAGAAATAATAAAAATAGTTGAGGCTGGTTAGTGGAGTTAAGTTGTAAATGGGGGAAAAATGTAATTCATGACGTACCGATGTGCTGAAAAAGGTGGTTACGAACCTTTTTTTTAATGTGTAGTAGGTTTGTGAGGTGTCATGAGCTGGTATGACTTCCTCTCTTGGGAAGTCAGGAGCCCATGGGGGAATTGTTTGGCATTTTTGGCAAAGTTCTTTGCCATTGTGCTGTTGGAACAAGAGCCCTGAAGGCTGACTGATGATGGGCATCGCCGCAAGCTGCGGAACACCAAGCTGCCCCTCGCCTTGTTTGTGCACAAGCGCCACCACCAGAATGACTCCTTTTCCCCTGCCTGACTGTCTGCTGCACCCGTCACGAGGACTGTCTGCTACTGTTCTGCTTAACAGCATCACTAAATTAGTCTTATTCAGGACTCCTGGGCATGAAGTGTGCGTGATCTGAATGCATTTGCTATTAAAAATAAAAATACTGCTGCATGCTATACTTCTCCGCTGTATTAATGTGCAGTAAGTGGTTTCTGGCATACAACACTTGTAGTAATCAGAATGCCATGATCCCTCTTTTCTCCTGTGAAGCCTTCATGATGAGTAAAGCACTTTTAAAGAGCTTTCTATGGAGATGTTGACAACTGTCAAAATCTCCAAACTGCTTGAAACGGGCTGTCTTTTCAGCATGCCGTGTGGACATTTTGGCCTAAAGTTACAAAATGAGTATACTGGGCTATAAGGCTATTGCTTGTTAGGAGAGCTGGCTTCTGGAAAGAAAAAGTATTATGAATTATAGTTTGTGTAGCAGAGGCAGAATTGCTGAAGGTATTGGAGGCTTAAGATAAATCTCTAGGGCCTGAAGCTATTTTTCCAATTGTACTTAAGGAAACAGGGTGTTATTTGTAGGTCATCAAAAAATTCAAGCAGTTTCTCAGGTCAGGAATAATATCTATGGACTGGAAAATTATTAATGTATCCCCCGTTCATAGAAATAGTGACTGAGTCACATAATTGTGGGCATATCAATCTTCTGTGACTTGTATAGCTATAGAGGTGGTACTCGGAATGAAATGGTCATCTGTTTTGCATTAAGATTCTAGGGATTAATCGACACGGATTTATTTATATTTTTTTATATTTTCAAATTGCAGGTGAGCATTTAAGATGATGCAAGTCCTTGTAATGGAAACGGGTTCAGAGAATACAGGGTAAATTTGGGTGGAGTGCTCTTGTCATGTGTATTAGAACCACTGCCTGTCATTATTTATACCTAAATCTGGCGTACTTGGTTCACTGGTAAAACACTGACGAAATTCAAGACTGGGTAAGCGCAGATGGCATTTAATGGAGTGTGCCTGTGAATGTCAACTTTATTGTGGTGTGTTAGAAGCAGTAGATATAAAATGAGAGACTCCAGGATCCCACTGTATGTGCTCAAATCTTTACTTATTTTTATGATCTTGTACAGTATATCATTCTTGTCTTCTATACAGCAATATGAATTTGAAAAAACAACACCTGGGTCTTCATAAACCGGTCTCCTGGTGTCAGAACCTCCTACAGTCGTGCTTAGTTGAAGTCCTTTTTTTGTGTGTGAGGGGGTAGATTTAAAATGTCAGTCTAGCAAAGACTGAACCATTCAGCTCGGGGCTCAAAGTGGGGCAGGCAGCTTCCGCTTTTGCAAGCGGGACTTGTGCGTGTTTTTAAGGTCATGCCGTTTTGCAGCTCATCAGATTCATTCATCTTCAGGAGCCGAAGCTGTCCGGCCGCTCCAGGCAGACGTGCTCCGCATGAAGAGGTTTGAACAGGAGAGCAACTGGGGAAGTGGGTGCTGTCAGACAGATTCCCTGGAATCTGTGGAGCCCAGCGGTACTAATGCATCCCAGGTATTGCAATGACTTCATCTCAAAACCATTTTAAAAGACAAGAAGCCAGGGTCGAATTTTGCACGTTACCTGGGAGATGTGCAGTTTATGAAATACTTAACCATGTTCTGTGTGCATACTCATTAATAAAGGGCAACTAAACTTTCTCTATTTTGTCTAAATCAATTGTATGTAATGTAATGCGCACATATTATGTATATATTTACAGTATATAATGAGTTTGTGTAAAGCATATATATTTGAATGTGTATTTTCTCATTTAAAGGGTTCCTTATTCTTTCTAAATGCAGTTTGTGTTTTAATTCTGCTTTTTCTAAACACAAATTTATCATTATACCCCTGAGAATGCAGGCTCCCAAGTGACTGCGGTCACATGGGAGATGCTCTGTACAGTATATTGTTTCCGAGAGCTTCAGCGCGTGCCGTCTCGCTGTGCTGCTAATTTGTGCACGATACAGCATATTCACAGAGGGGGCTAATTTCACAGGCTGTTCCACATGCGCAAGCCTGCAGTGCCGCTGGGTTTGCTGTTGTAAACAGAGAATAAATATTCCAGAACAGCTGAAGTGCTGTGCAAGAATAAGACAGGCCAAGAAAATGTACACAGAAGAGCTCTCGGGGATGGAATCCGTCTCCAGGATAGCAAGTTTTTCTGTTGAATTGGAATACTTTGTAGCTTATCTACTAAATTCCTCGGCCTGCAGTAGAGGATGCATTCTGCAGCTTGGAGATTGGTGGGGCTGATTGAGAAAGGTCTGGTTCACCGTGTTGGCTGGTGTGATGGCTGTTGGCTGTGATGTGTCGGAGACTGAAGAGGCCAGCCATGTGCATGTAGAACGCCATGTCAGTGGACATGGTGAGCCGTGTGGTTCAAGGTCCTTTCAGAACAGCCAACAGTGATGGTTCTTCCCGAGACGTCTCTCTCATCGTGTAGGACAGTTAGTGCTTCATTCTGTAGTGTCCATGGATTGGTTTTGTCATCCTTGTTATGGAGGGGTGGTGCATTAGTGATTTTCCATTCAACTGGTATAACCCCATTATTTAAGCCCCTGGCAATTATATATCTTGTATCATCACTGTTAGAGCTCCCACAGGCCTTCACGATTTATCTTACTACCATATTGTTGTTCACCCAGCTGGCGTAAGCTGCATGCCAGTCCCATTACTGATGCCACTATCTCCTGGTATAGATAGGCAAAGGCTCCTGTTGCATGGATGGTACTATACATAACATAACATCACTTTATTAGCCCTATACAATTTCTTGCATTAGGAATTCGTCTTTTCACATACCCCAGCTTTTCTCCATGGAGACACAGACACACAGACAGGGAGAGAGCAGGGAGAGTGCAGGGTCAGCCATTGTACGGCGCCCCTGGAGCAGTTGGGGTGAAGGGTCTTGCTCAGGGGCCCAACGGAGTAGGATTCCTCTGCCAGCTGCAGGATTTGAACCGGCAACCTTCCAGCCGCAGGCGCAGATCCTGAGCCACAGAGCCACCGATCCGCCCTAACGAAAAAAACATAAAGCTTGGAGACTGACCACACTGCCCCAGCTAATTTAGGCAACTTTTCAATCTGTCGGGAATGAAGCACACCAGCTTTATACAGCATAAAAACTGCATGCTGTTTGTCTGGCCCACTAGATGATTGTTATATGCTGAATGTTTTGTAGAGGTACAGTTGTAGCAGAAGTGTTGAATTGAATATTACATTTCCTAGATTTGTTTCTAGAGGCTAAGAATTTCCATATCCTAAGATTTCTTTCTCATCAGCTAACGTTTTACGTTTCAGTAATTTCTCAACAGAAGAGAACACGTACAGCAGAAGGGTGGTGGATTTTAAAAAAAATCATGTGTTGTTCTGAGACTGCACTTTGTGTGTGTGTACAGGTTATAGAGCAGGTCTCCCCTCAGGATGAAGTTACAAGATCATGTGATGTGATGTCCTGGAGGGACAAACCTGAGTACTTTCACTCCTGGTCTGCTGATTGTCGATTCTACAGTCATGCCATGTGAAACAAAAGCTGCAATCTGAATGTTACGTCAGAATGCAGTGCTTATTGCAGGTCTGAATTTTGAAGGACGATTTTCTCAAAGAATTCAGCTCTTGGAGAGTGTATGACAAATGTTGACCACAGTCTTCACTGCAAATCTTTCCAGACTCCAGCAGTGCGTGAATCTGATTAATCAAATCTACAGTCTTTGAGGAAACCAATTACATAGCGTTATAGATATAGTTAATTGTTCATGACTGTCTTTTTGCTCTGTGACTTTTGGCAAACACTAGTAATACAGGATTGAATAAGGGGATTTGTTCAGCATTATTTATGTGGTGGACTAAAATTAGTCTATTGGACTAAAATAGTTTTGCAGCATGAAATCAAGTCATCAGTTTTTTGACACCCATAGGAGAGTTGATATCTACAGTATACTGTTTAGCATTCATACAGCAGCATCAATTTGCCAGTGTGGCTTTTTTTACTGACACCTTCTATGATAAACTGCAATAGGATGTGCTAATTAGCTGTAGACCACAGCACCTTTCAGTCGATTAGTTATTTGTTCCAAGCATCATAATAATGACTAATGTAAGTTTCTCTACCAGACATTACTGCCTCTTTCCTGATATTTTTCTGTTTTAGATTTGGTCTGCATTACTGCAAGAGGAGTCTGCTTTAGGAGTTTAACTTTTTCCTGCATTGCTGCAGATAAGGGCATGAGCTCTGTGACTAATGGAGCATTGTCTCTTCTAGGTATGAATTTGTATTAGATGGTGGAGTTTATTTTATTACTGTTTATTACTAGAAAACATTTTAGGAGTAGGAGAGAGATTTCCCTTGAATTTGTTAGCTCAAATTGAAAATCGTAAATAAAATGAGCAATAAGGTATATAAATCAAGTTCTCTTTGATTGGGTTGGAATGACTGTTTTGAGGAAACTCAAAACCAATTTATCCTTTTCAGTGCCTTGGGCGAACTCATTCAATTTGTTTTAGCAGTAGCTTTTTCAATGTTGTACAGATAGCTTTTTTTATACTTCTTTTGTTTCCTTTAAATTTCCTCATGCCCTTATCTTCCTTTAAATGTTTAAAGGATTAAGAAATGTTTTCTCCTTGAAAATGTCAGACCTCTAGTAATCTGAAATCACGTTAAATTACACTTGAGAGGATAGAACTAAGAATCCAAGTACTTTTTTACACAAAGATATCAAAGATTTTATTATAAGTAGTGACAGCATAGGATTTTTTGTTTCATGAAGTTTGTTTTATCTATCGTTAGGACTGGGTTAAGGACAATTATGTTCAACCATAGCATTTTAAGGGGTGTACTTTTTCACCACACTGTAGGTGATGATACAGCAAAGAACATGTAGAGATGTCACCCTTCAATAATTAGGTGCTATGAGAGTGTGGGGGCGGTGTTTAAACTATTGAATCTAACACTTTCACCTCAAAATATTCTAGCGCAAGGTAGGAAGTGTAGGCTGACATAAAGACAAATCTGTCAGTACGGATAAATTTTGTTGATGCTGTTATTTCTTTGCAAGGTGTAAAGACTTCATAAAATTGCTGAAGAGAAATTTGAAGTGAATTGTACACACTTTCTGGGATTTGCGAAAAAGACTCTGTAAAAACGTTTTCCCATCAAAAAGAAATTGAATCATGTCAAACTTGCACCTAAAGTAAAATAGAAATGAATGAAGAGTAGAATTGAGTGCGTGATTAAAAATAAATGTCCATCTCTTCACACTGCAGATAAGTGATTTGAAACCAGACAGGATGCGGTACAGTGCGAGTCTGGGGACTGAAGATACCTTCTCTCCTTCTGGTGATCAAAGACATTCTTTACAGCAGCCTGATCTGGAATCTAGACGCTTAGCAGTGGAACGGAAGAGCTCTGCTCCCGTGTCTCTGGAGGGCCATAAAATGGAAAACCAGTTTGAGAGATCACAGAGTACCGAGATCCCACTTCCATGTGGCAAAGCAGTCAGTTCAGGGATTTCGCTGAAGAGGAAGCGTATGACCCTGTCCGACAACGCTAAGAAGCCGGGCAAGTGGGAGCCATCTCTAGATCGGGGCAGTTCAGAGAAGCCTGAAACTGGGAAGGAAAAGGTCGGCACAGCTTCTGCAGGTCTTAAGTCCCCTGTAGCTGTGACCTCTGAAGCTGGTGTGTGCGATGCCAGCAGACTGAGCCAGGAGGAGAGGGCCCTCGTCCTGAGGGAAACCGCACAGGCGTCGGTGATCGTTCTGACCATGGTCTACCAGGACGGCACTGCCCAGCTCAACGCTGAACAGGTATCAACCCAGTAAGCAAAACCAGAGCTATAGAAGCACCACTCAGTGAATAATACCATTTTTTTTATTTCTGGTGGGGGTGCAGTTGTTCGTGAAATTTAGTTGCAGTTGGGCCCCTGATTAATCTGTGCAAAAACCTCTTAATCAGTTTGAAGTATCTGGTCTTGAATCTTGAAGGTATTTGTTTTAGATGGACAAAATTTGGCATCTTCCAGTTTTTTTTTCCAGTTTGTCTATCATAAGATATTCTGAACCAACAGCATCTTAACAGGGACCTAACAGCATTGCCAAGCAACATTGAAAGTCCATTCCAATGCAAATGTACTTATTTATGGTTAGAGGCTGCACTAAACTCAGCCAAGACTGACAGTGCTTTCGTGTGTGATCATGTTGCTTGCACAGTTTCTTCCACCTGAAACCTGTGCATTTGTGAAGTAGCTTCCATTTAAATTCATGATGCTCTGCGTGTTTAATCTGAAACATTTATTGCCTTTCTGCTCCACTGTCCTCAGTGCTCTCAGTAGCACCGATAGGTAATCCGTGCAAAGCTGTTTGTGGGAAATGGGGGAAAAATAATAAAATATACAGCAATCTGCAATGTTCACTTTGGGTAAGCAACTCAAAACCAGGGAGCAGGACTGTCTAGCAGTGCTGAGCTGGTAATAGATGAGAGAGTCTTAGGAGATAAACCATGAACACATGCATCGACTATTGGATGTACCAGGAAATGTATGAAGTCTTAAGAAAAATCAAAGCAGCGAGCAACTCTCCATGGCTTTCTCTGCAAGCCCGTTTCAGACAGAATAAGATATGAGGCCTTTAATCTTTATGCTGCTGGCTAAGATCAGCGATAACCCTGTCTGAACTGTCAGTGTTCAGAGCAACGTTTTCTGGAAGAGGAGTTGGACTGAGTGGATCTTCATATCATAGGCAGTGTCCCTGCTTATTTTTTTGTTTCGACCACTAAGGAAAATTAACTTATGATACAAGAATTTTAATTAAGAAAGGGAAAAGTGGACTTCTTCGGCTGTTTGGATAGCTGTTTGATGCCTCTTATTATCCTTGCTGTATTTTATTTGGTGGTTTAGTTGTGTTTTTCAGAGGCTAATCTGCTCTGTCGAGAATTCTGCAGTAATGCATCCACAGTATACAGTTTGGTATACACGCTGTAGTGTTTCATAAAGAGACAAATACTGTTATGCTATTTACAGTTTTCAACTTGTTTTTTAAAATGTAAGAATATTGGTGTAGTATTTGGGATAAATTTGCTTTATTTACATTACAGTAAAGGAAAAACTGAACCTTGGTGCTGGCTAATAAAATGTATGTTAATAGCTCATTTGCTGATCTCTGATGATTGTAATATGTCTGTCAAATTCTGGAGTATACAGTGCTTGATTTTTGATCATTTGAATGGAGGCAAGGTTCAGGGTGGTTTTACAGGAAGTGTGAAAATCTAGTACAATGTCCTGATGGGCAGATGGTGTAACTTGTGGTGAGAAAGGTGGATCACATTAGTACCCAGTATCCATTTATAAACTTAAAGTCCTACAAATTGTCTACCTGCAGCTCCTGAAATTCTGCTACATAATGAATTATTTAGTTATGGATAGTTCATTTGGATGGATGCTCGGAGTAGTGTCATTTACAAATATAATGCAATTTAAAAGTCATGTCAATTAAGGCAGCTTTAAAAAATAGTAGTTCACTAAGCAAGATATATTTAATGGTTTAATTGCTTTTTAATGTTAAATCTTTTTTGTGTGTGTGACTTTTTATGTGCAGAAGTCCTGTCCCCCAGTCAGTGGGGTCCTTGTGTTGTTGAAGAGTGAGCTGGATGCGATGGAGTCTGAAGGGTGTAGTGCAGGCCTTCCTGGCTCAGAGGGCTCAGGCTGTAAGGTTATCTTCCTGAAGCTGGAGCAGAGGCCTGCATGGGCACAGCAAGGATACAGACAGGACCGCTTCTCCAAGTGAGATCTGTATATGAAAATGCTAGTAGCCGCTGTCTGCTTCAGTCTTACTGACTGAATCTGGGTTCAATCGCTACTGTCTGAGCAGGTGAGTCTTGGGGAGTCTTGGTCACTCCTCAGGTTTCTAGGTAGCTGACCAACGGGGGTGGCAGGAAGGAGAAGACGTTATCGATGTGGAACCCCACAAGTTCATGGGGAGAACATTCAGTCTCCATGTAGATAGCATCCTTGGAACTGAACCCAGGGCCCCAGTGCTGTGAGACAATATTTATTGTTAACATTGTGCCACCCATGTGCTTAAACCAATTGTCTTCAAATGAAGCTCTGGTCATTGTGCTTAACAAAGATAGTCAACAATTGTCCCCGAGGTACTGTATAAGTCTGTGCATTCCAGGATGAATATAAAGAGTTAACAGGACCTGGTGGGTAAGTTTAAAAGCTGAGCGTGTTCCCTTTGCGAGTTTCTTAGTGGTACTGTATGAAATATAGTAATTGGATGAAATATACTGTATGAAATATAGTAATTGGAAAATAATTCCTATTCATATTATACTGTAAATCAAGTAACTTTTCTGTCTGTGCTGTTAAATACTCTCATGTCAAAAGATTAATTCATGCTGTATTTTTGATAGGCCTTATTGTTATTGCATACAATGAGGATGGATGGTGTAAGAAGTGACTTTCTGCTCTTTTACTTTCAATCACTCACTCGTAGTGATTTTGGTCAACTAAAACGAAGAACAAAAAGCATTCTCTGAACCCACAGTCACTTTTTCACATGGTATGTTATGGATCAAGATTTTCTCATTCTTCTAAAGTGCTGTGGGTTGCACTTTGGCACAGGCACTCATAAATTAGATCCAAAATTGTTGTAAACCTGCAATAAAAGCCTCAATCCCATTTTCTCGAGTAGGAGAGTTGGAACTCGTCTTAGTTCTTTGTTTTCGTTACGATCTTTTTTTCTTCCTCTGCTCCACTGTAGAGAGATGCTTCTTTGCATTCTGGGAAGTGCCCAGGATGTCATCTGCTTTAAAGCTAAAGATCTGCTGTGCACCGCTCTTCAGTATTTCGGGAAGGAGATCAGCTGGAAACAAGGCAAGGGTCTCGAATCAACAAGCCATTATTCCCCGAGTCTGGGGCTTCTTAATGGCGACAGTGAGCGAGTGCCAGATGTTTTTATCATCGTGTTGTCATTGCAGAGGAACTGGAGGGTGAAATGTGTTTATTCCCAAGGAATGCCAAGAAACATGTGCTTCTCCTTCTATACACATCGTCTGGTTGTTTTCATTTTTCTTTTGAAAGATAGCCACAGTGTTTATGTTAAGAATCAAATGGATAAAGTTATTACATAAGAAAGTAGCTAGTGAAGAGTTTAGAGCTTTCCCAAGAGTCTCTTCATTCCATTTCTTGAGACAAGCAGTGGTACAGTTCCATCAGCATGGCTGGGTGGCTTCATTTAGCACTACCAAAAGAAACAGAACAGAGGATCATCACAAAACAATTTTTTTCTGTTTGGCAGGAGTTTATTGTCCCCCTTTGATACACGCATAACAATTCGTACATTATGATCATATCATTGTTTATGCTAGAACCTGGTATCTGCTCTCATGCACATCGTTTTCACATGATGTCCACTTGAGTTGCTAGCTCTGTTCATTGCTTTGCTGATAATGTTGCTCAGTTGGTCCTTTAACATGGTGTTCAGAACACCCCTCTAAGGTTCCTGCCAATAACATTTCCAGAGCGTGTTGGATCTGTCTTCTGCTGAATCAATGGCACTCTTTTGTATTAAAAGCAATGCACTTGTGTAGCTTATGTGTCTGCTTCACATTTGCAAATGAGCCCAGTTCTTTAATGCATGGGTTGGCACATTTTTTCCCTTCACGTTCAGCAGATAATGGGGAGCATGAAAAAAGGATCAGGAGCTCTGTTCTTATCTTCAGGCATATATTTGTGCCTCACAATATCCTAATCAAACTGGTTTATTTGCAAAATGGCAAACATACACATTGTATTTCTAAAGTATATCAGTTTTGTCTGTCCTTATGCTGTGAAGGGAATTTAGCTTCCAAATTATTTGTCTCCATGGGAGATTATGAATGTTTAAGGGCTTGATTCTTACTGTTGCTGGCCACAGTGGTATATAAGGTAAGTTAAGATGTCATTAAAGATTCGTAGGACTTGTATATTGTAAGTATGTGACTTTTAGTCAAATGCTAAAAACCTTATTCTCCATGTGAAATTTGTGTGCAAACAAAAAGACTGAGAAAAAAGGCTGAGAAGACACTTGCCCTGTTTGAAATGGTCTTGCAGTCGCCCTCTGCAGAATTCTGGACCCTCAGATCGCAGCCTGGCTGTTGGATCCTGCCGACACTGCTTCCTGCTTCTGGGACCTTGTGGCCAAACGCTGCAAAACCCGAGCTGCAGTCAAGCCTTGTGCTGGAGCCAGGGAGGTGAGAGAAGACCGGGGCCGTCCTGCAGTGTGCAGGATGACAGTGGCAGCCGTGCCTCTGGGGTTTCATACACAATAAACTGGAACAGTCCTTGAACATTTGCGAGACATGTATTGGCTTCCATGTGTCCCCCAGGTGCTGGATGATGTGGGTCCTCTCTTGTATAAATTAAGTGCTTCCGGATCCCTAGAGATTAAAATGATATGGTTGCTAACATGTACATTTAGATCACTTTATTGGCCATATAGAATTTCGGTTTGAGCAGTTAGAGTAACCTTTGCTTGAGTAGTTTTCCTTAATGAAAGGGTTCGTAGCAGCACAGCTGTTGAAGTTACACTTGTATGAGCAGTTAATGTTGCCCCCTTCCATTATGCACTAATAGAAAAGTCTAAAGTCTTTGTGCCAGGAAAATAAAATCTGATTTAATTAGATGCTTTATTTGGATAGAAATAGTTTGAATGTGGTCCTTTCTTGGAGTATACTACAATTGTTTAAGTTGATTTACCCTTACTTGAAATTTAGACATTTTTATAATCACTTTTATTCTAGTATTTCAACCAGTTTTTGATGGCTTGTCTCTCAGAAGAGGTCTTACCCTAGTGTAACAAGCAAATAATTATTTTAAACCTTTCAAATTAAAAATAGTCAAGTCTCTTCTGGATGCAAAGCCTTAATCGTTACTCTGCTTTTGACATTCCAGGGCAGACTAAAGAAGGGTCTCATCCTACCAGCCCCTGGTTCAATAGGCATTTGTGTCCACAGCCCCACTGACACTTGCTGGAGCCATCGCAGCTTTTGCAGCGGTACTGCTTTCAGACTGTTGGCATGTCGGTCACTGTCCCCTTGAGTGTGAGCCCTCTCTCTCCGTTTCTTCCCATACGCAGCCGAATGTGAGCGGCAGCCTCCTGGTGCTCTATCGGCTTATGATGGATCTCCGTGCCAGTTTGCAGGCGAGTCTCAATCCGTTTGACGGTCTACACTTGAGGACATCAGAGCACGGAGGTGCTCCCCATTGGAACATTATTAAGGCTTTCCATTCAGAGTAACCTGAGCAGTGGGCAGCACTGTGGCTGGTGATAGTGTGATGAATGGCTGCGGCAAACATGTCACCCTTACAGCGGATGACTGATGGCTCGACGCCAGTCTGCTTTCTGTCCCTAAGAAATATGACCACCTTTGATAAAGTTATCTCCTTCCTGTTTCGTGCACTGAGGAGTTCAGAAGCTGACATGCAGTACTAGTCCTCATTCATGGACTTCTGTTCCTTTCCAGGAGCAAGGCCTGTGGAAGCTGTTCTGTAGTGTGGAGCTCCGACTCACCACAGTACTGGCAGGTGAGAGCGGGTTTCCTCTTAGCCCCCTTGCCTGTGGGCTTTGTTTTTTATGGCACAGACTAGAATCTATGCCCTTTGATTTTGTTATACAAAAGGATGTAAGAGAGATCGCTTTATTGGCCTTATACGATTTCTTGTATTAGGAATCTGTCTTCTGTAAATACACCGTGTTATATAGGTGTATCTCAGTTATATTGTCTCAGGTTCTGTGTTAGAAATTAGGGGCCTCCACTTCCCAGGTATACAATGTGCCAGACTCCAAAATATTCATTTGATTTAGCATCTTTTTCCCCCACATACCATTTTAATTATCCGGTCACAAAGAGTTTCAGATACAGGAGGATTCTGTGATTGAATGCACTACAGACCTAACAGCCACTGGTATTTCTCAGCCTTTGTATTTAATTGAGCACTTGCCCCCAGTGCAGGTCTATTATTAGCCCTTACTGGTCATGATAGGAATGAATCTCAGGTAGCGGTGGAGGGCAGCACTTAGACAATAACCAAGACTGAAAATGTGCCCCAAAGCCACAGAATGCCAGCAGCCAGGGACAGAGGCCACATCCGAGGTAAGTTAAACTACTACCAGGACTGTGGCACAAGGTAGATGGGGGTCTTATTTAATTCTCTTCTTGATTCTTCTCACTTGTGTTTTACTTATGAACAAATGCAAGATGATGTAATGGACTGTCACCTTCCGAGGTCACTGCATTAGGGTAGAAGCTTGATTTTTTTGTTCTCCAGAACAGTTGCTCAAAACCACATTGAGCAGAGGCGTTGTTTTTCTTAAATTTCTTTGTGAAAGCAAGTACTCGGTACCACTGTTTTTCCTGAGTGAATGGGTGTTTTGCTTTCTTTGATACTGGTGGTCAAATAAAAAGCTTTCTGTTTCAGGGTATTGTTAGTCAACATCTTAGTGTTGTTTAAATTAGAAGATGCAGACATTACAGGTTTTTAGGCTGTAAGAGTTCTTAGTAGTAGGTACTGTAGATACTCAACACTGTTGCAGGGTGTAGGCTTTCTCCCTTGTAATGCAGAGGGTTTCTGTTAAATCGCTTTTTTCAGACTTTAGCAGTTCAATATACTGTATTTGAGCACTGAACAATTTCTTGTGAATAGCTTTAGTGCTTTTCATCTGCTAAAAACTAAAATACTCCTTGAGTATTTCGAAATCCATGTAAAATACTGTATAAATGAAGTTCAATATGAGTGTTTAGTTTCATAATCATCTCCTTTTTGTGTTAATGTAACAAGAAATCAAGTCAGTGCAAGGGCTTCTCCCACTATTACATCAAAGAGTGATTCACAACTGTGCTTGCTTTTGAAGCTGAACATTTATCCATTTTCTTATATAAGGTCCTACATTTCACACCATAGTTGCCTGTCCCCTGGATAGACTGGGAATGCAGTAACCTGGTAAACAATGTTGGCTTGAATAAGACCACAGACTTTAAAAACGGTGTGGTCCTTTAAACGTGTGGACATGAATAAAATACATTTTAATTTAAAAATGAATTCTAGTCATGTGTGTGCCAAGCGACTGCACTTTTGTTCATGGTGGTATCAGAGTTCATCGTGTAGTTTGGCACTCATTTGTTTTCTATCGTTACAGCATTCATTTATTAAACAAAGGAGACAGGGTTTCTTATTTATTCCACTATTATCAGTGAACAATGTAAACCTGAACATTTAAACATATAACCAAGCTGTTCTTGTTTCACATTGCAGTCATGGAAATCCATCGGATACATGTAGACAAGGATGCACTGGAGAAAACGTCTAAGATCCTGGGGGTACAGTATGACGCTGGCAAGCCAGCTTATTCATGGGGTGCAATATGGAACTCTATGACCTGCATTGGTCTAACAAAGTCAGTCTGCATTCATGGAAACACGTGAACACATGCTGAACACATGCTGTGCTTTTGATGCATTTCCTGATACAAGAATGTTGTACTGAATAACGTGGTCTGTTTGGTTAATCTTTGTCCAGCCTATTTTCTATACTTCATGGGTAATGATTGCCTAGCTTAAACCTACCTTGAAAGTAACCGATAAGATCAGTACGGGATCTTCCCACTTTAACGGCAGGATCAGGTGTTGACCCGGGTGGTATCGGGTCTTGTGCTGCGCTGTTCTGTCATTGTGTGTGCCCTGTGCAGTTCTCTTTGTTTCTGTGTTCCCATTTTCGGTCTCAAGGTTCAGAACTGCTTCTCATTTTTCTTCATCCGCCTGATGGAGTCAAGGGCCATAATCTCTTTGGATGTTGTTTCTCCATGTCTGTTTTTGCTATATCTTTAAAACGCTTCTGTTCTCTGGTGTGATTGCCTTGGTGAACCTGCTGAAAGACCTCATCCAGCAACACAACCAACCCAGACGGTACCTCAGTGCCTGTGGTGCCTTCTTGGGAGAGAACAGTAATCCTGGTGCATCTGTCCTTGCTCCTGATACTTAGTTTGTTTGCAAAAAGGTGTTGAAATAATGACTGTAAGGCAGATCAACTGTTTGGCTTCATTTTTAATGAGGTGATCCTCCACCAGCTTGCTCAAATGGAATGGGGTACACCGGCTTTCTGGGGCTGTTGGGCTTCTTTAATGTCTGCCTTCTGTGAAAGGTAACTCCCAAGGCATGGATAGTGCTGTGCGTTCTTAAGTCATTCATCGGGAATCTGTATCATTGCTGTGGGTAAGCTTCTAAAGATTATTTTGGTCTTCTGAATATTAGGGGTAAGTCCCCTTTTCTCATGCCTCTGAAAATAAGATGGCAATTGTCTGGAGATCCATTTCTGTCAAAGTGTAGACTTTCGCCTCGTCGTACTGAAGTTCTAAGACTGAGGTCGGGGGTGGTGTTTAGGTTTGGACTTAAGTTATTGAAGATTAAATTTCATATCCATTCAGCAAGTCAGATTTGCTACAGCTGAGAGCTTCTTTCAAGTAGAGCAGGCAGTGATAAAAGTGGGGGTGATAACATCATCCTTGTTTTACTACTGTCCAGCCTTCATTTTGCACAGCTTCTCCAGCTTCATTAAAACATGTGAAGCTGTGGGGAAAGCAGTAGAAAGAACTGTACTTTTTGCACTGTCCCTGTAAATAGATTTGGTTTCCTCAAAAAAATAAGAAATATACCTTTGACTTATCAAACATTTGTTGCTCATTTCTATAGGACATTTTCAGAGTTCATGTGAATTTGGAGATTAAAATTGAGAGCGTACTGAATTTGTGAGAACTGGATAAATCACATTTTCACCACGTTAAGTAGCTTGACAGCTCTGAGTGATGTGTTAAGAGGTTAAACTAACACAGCATTTTCTTTGAGAACATTGATGCACACTTTCACAGTTATAAATAGAACACTCATAGCAAAATGATGTCGCACCACTCTATCTCTGCTGCCTCTGCAAACTGGACGTCTCCCTACAGTTGGTCCTGCATTGCAGATGTCCGTCTGCTCTCTTGCTTCAGCGAGTGTCTAAACAGCTTACTATCTCTCTAGCAGGCTGTAATCATCCTGACTAGTGCAAATGGACTGAAGCCGTTATATTCACGTTCCAAGCCTCCTGTGCTGCGTGAACTCTTTTTCTGCTGCTAAACCGAATCTGTCCTGATTGCCTGGCTCCTGGAAGTTCTTAAAGAGGTTATCTGGAGTTCGGCTTGATTCTGTGGCGTAGGAGAAAATCATCTTGTTTTAAGATAGTTTTTCCCTGAAAAGGAAGCGCGTTGCCGTATGCGCTCCCCCGAGCTCACTGCCGATGAAGCTTCGGATTGGGTTGACACTGGGGCAGGGTGAAAGACAGGGACCAGGAATGAAAGGAGACATGCGTTGCTCACTGCTCTGTGATAAAGACCTCAGTTTCAGTTTTCTTGGCTGCTATTCCTGTACTCTTCCCAGAGCTGTAGAGGGTGGTTTTATTTCGGCTGAGGGTGCCATCGGCAAACAGCCTTCTTTTTGCAGCTTGTCTACAGTATGGCAGTTCAGCCCTCTGATTACCATAAAATTGGTGTAGACAGATATGCCCGTTCCTTTTGTACCCCCCAAATATGAGTCGCCAGTAGCCATTCAGTTCACCTCGATGTTATGGCTGTCTGTAATACTAGCATTGAGGAGAAAAGGCTGAATACGATCCCTTGGATACATTTTTAGCAGCCAGGCAGGCTAGGCGGGCAGCATGGTGATGAGCGCTGTTGATTGCTTTCCTCGAAAAGGTGCCCTCCTTTTTTCAGACTGCAAGCCTTATAGCTCCCTCAGCAGAGTTGACATTGGATAGACCACCAATGTTAAATCTAGCTTGAAGCCCCTCATAGCTGAGGGCTTGTTTCAAGAAGAGCAGGCGTTCAGGGATAATGAAAAGAACTTTTTATTCCTCAGTGATAAAAGGGGGGGTGTTAACATCCTTGTTTGACTGCTGTCCAGACTTCATTTGGCGCAGCTCTTGACTCACTGTAAGCCACAGCCTGGCAAGCCCTTAGTTCCTAGTTGACTATTTGCGCAGCCCAGACTCAAGCTGGCTGATGGGTTTTTTTTCCTCACACTTTTTTTTTAAGTTGTATGTTATTTAACGTTGTTGCTGCTGCTGTTCTGTTTTGTTTTGTTTTTGGTGATTCCTTTGTCTTTGTATTGCACCTATCCTTGGCATTTCATTGCACTTGTGTGTATGACAAATTAACTGCACAGGATAGCCTTCTTGAAAACACGTGTAGGTTTAAAAATCTGTACGTAATTTCTTAGGAGAATGGTGGCATTCTTAGTTCTAGGCTCCTAGTTATCTCACAACGTTAGGGTTCTAGGTTAGATTCTGCTGAGGGGTCCCGTGTGTGGAAACATCAGTTCGGTAATGAAAGTGTCATGTGGAAGGGGAGCCAGAAACCTTCTGGCTTTCCAGGACTGGAGTTGTGCATTAGGGGATGTAATTGATTGGGGCTTCCCTGAGGATCAGAAGTCATTTTTGCAGCTCGTCTCCATTATAAACTGGAAGCTCAGCTGTGCAGTGCAGTTTATTTCCTACTATGGGACCAGCAGGGCAGTCTGACTTTTGATCGCCTAGTAACAGTTGCTGAATTCTTGTATGACATCAACAAATTGCTAAATCATTCAGTCTTATCATTAGGTCACTGATCTGAGTAATATAGTTGCTTTTAGACAGTGTTGTAAACATGAAGGCTACAATGATCACTATGGTCTGTACTGCTACAGCACATTACTGGTATTAAGAAATACAAAGGGACATTGTGTTGCTCTGTACCAAATCTCTAGGGGACAATTACTAGTCACATTTGACTAGTTACAGTTGAGAGTCCAGAATCCAAGCCACTGCTCCACACTGCTGCCATGAGATATGGTGAAAGTCTTAAATCTCCATTCAACTGTTGGATTCAGAATAAATAATGCAATCCGCCTTTCCAAAATGTTTTTCCTGTATGTAGTGTTTCAGATTGTGAAGAATTTGTGTTATCAATCTTAATTTCAGCTGGTGGTGTTACATGACTGGAGTAGTTCATTAGCATTTTTCTAATGAGAATTTCAGGACCTTGTGCTCAGGATTACATGCATCACGTGTCAATGCCACATGGGAGTAAGCAGAACACTTGGCTCATTTTTGCTTTCTCTCTCCATGTGCAGATGAAACTGAAGCAGCTGGAGCAGGAGGCTCATCAGGCAGCAGGGCAGCAGTTCCTGGTTTCCAGCAGCAGTCAGCTCCGCGTGGTCAGGATCTCTTATCTTTTCTCCACTTCTAGGTGGGGCAGTGACTACGCACCGGCTGCAGCCTTGGCATGTTGAGGCCTGATCTCACCAGAGCTCAACGCCTCAGTTGTGGGTCTCCAGCGCTGGTCTTGTAGAGCTCCAGTCCAGCAGATTTTATAGCCTATACATAGCTTTTAAATGTCTAAAGGTCTGGAACAATTTAATAAGGATCAAACAGGTGGAATGTTCAATTTTGCGATTTAGGGATCATCCAACCATTTTCTAACCACTTCTTTCAATTCGGGGTGCTGGAGGAGCCGGATCCTATCCCAGCAAACAACAGCTGCAAGGCAAGGTGCGCCCTGGACAAGATACCAGTCCATTTCAGGGCAGACACGCGCGTACTCTTACCTGGACCAATTTTCTCAGAAGCCCATTAACTTACCTGTGTGTCTTTGACCTGGAAACCTGAGTGCCTGGCAAAAACCCACCCGAACACAGAGAGGACACACAACCTCCACGGGCCTTCAGTCAGTAATTGAGCCCAGGGCCCCAGCGCTGCGAGGCAGCAATTCAACCACTGTGCGACAGTGCCTTCCAACTCACAGATCATATTTAACAGAAATCAGAACATTTTTCAGCACTCGAGTACCACCATTCTCATCTTTAAACATTACTTGCTTAATTGACCAGTTACTGAAGAAGTGGTCCTTACCCTTAAAGAAGTGATTTGGGGTGACCTATTAGAATAACCGGACTGGGGCTCTCCAGGACCCCTGGCCTATGCTAAGGTGCCTAGGACAATCGATTGTCTCATGTTTGTCCTTTGTGAGCTCAATAGCCTGCTACCAGGGATTCAGATGTACCTCTATCTGCAAGTTAGATCAAAGGAGGTTTCTTAGGAATGCTTCCACTATAAAACAAATTCAACCGTTGTCTGTTCTCCAAGATGGTTGCAGAGGTGGGGGTGTGTTGTGTATACTGTATGGTATGTATCCAGGAGTGCAGGAAGAAAGGGGATTACAGAACTGAGAATAGTGAGGGGGAGATTTCGTATTTCTGACGGCTGTCCTGTGGCATCGTGCTGTAGGTCCTGTTTGAGAAGCTGCGCCTTCATGAACGCTGCGAGAACAAGAAATTGCCCAAGACCGTCCTCAGGCAGCAGCAGTCCACCTCTGAGGCCACTGTGAGTCCGTCACCACTTCGGTTTTCCTTTGTTTTTCGGTTTTAGCTCAGCTTTGCTCCAAATAGAAACTTTATTAGCATTCCTACAGACCACATGCCCAAAGGTGCTTTAATGGTCTGGTATTTTGACCTACTGTAATGCTTTGAAGCATCTAGAAGGCAGACAGGGTTGGAGGCACGTGAGCTTCACTCTACTTCCATATCAACATGCAGCTCTTTCTGTTATGTAGATTCTCCAATTATGTATGTTGCCCTCACCTCCTGTGGAATCTCCAGTTGCATTTTTCACATCTTGGCTCTCAGCTGTGAACCCATTAGCCGCCCACTGGGGAGAATGGGGAAGTATAAGCAGCCCTCACTGACCTGCCCACCTCGGAAGTGCTCATCTTTTCACCGGTCACAAAAATCGTGCTGATGGTTGAGCCACTCGGGACACCAGGCAGCTTTTAAAACGAACCAGTGATAGGATGCGTCATGTGTACAGTACCTGTCTGATGAGCTGTCCTTGGTGCTGAAGTGAGCTCCCACCACTGTGATCTCTCTCACTGCGAACTCTCTGCTACCTCCACCTGCTGTCATCAGGCCTGTCATTAATGGAGTCATATCTGCTCCTGGGCCTGACCTTCCAGAAATATATATCCTTTGTTTCCCAGGATGTCATTCAAACAGTTCTTATTCCTGAAGTGACAAATCCTACGGTTCTTTTCCTAAAGAAATTCTAAAGTATATTTAAGAGCCCATATTTAGAACTCGGATATCTCCAAAGATATTTACAAAGATAACCCCAGAATAAAAGCTGTTCCAGTAGTGTTATTTTGTAGCTCTTAATCTCGAGTATTTGCAGAGAAAACTTGAATAGAAAAGGTTTTCATAGTAGTCTTCACTGTACTAGTACAACCCTAATGTGTTAAATTTCAGAGTGGTACTTAAGCCTGCAATGTCAGTCAGTTGAAAATACAAGTGTGCTGTGCTGCTTAACTGACCCTCATGTCAGCAGTAAATATGTACATGCCAATGGGTTTTACAAATGTTCAGTGTCGTGAATGCCTTTAAGAAAAGACAATCCACTGAGAGTGGAATCTCATTGCATTACTTAATGAAAGGTAAAAAAAAAATACATTTAGCGTCATTATTCCCTAAACAGAGCGGAGAAGAGAAATGAGCACTGGAGTTGAAGGCAGGTACTGTATAAATTTCCCCAGTAAAGTCTATACCGCCAGTCCCCTTCATAGACAAGTAGACAGTCTGGAAAAAAATCATGAGAAAACATTTTCCTCCTTTCCTGTCAAGTACCATTTCACATAAATATCGCAGTGAAGCAGTAAGGAGGGGCTAATTCAAAAGTTGGTCTCCCAAGAAGAAATCGGTCCATGTCTGTCTTCAGAAGCTCTGAAGTCAAGCATGATTGACCTTTTTTGCTTTCTTTTCATTTCACTTTTTTTGTATTTCTTAGTTAATGCAGCTGCAAGACCTCCATCCTCTGCCCAAGATCATCTTGGAGTACAGGCAGGTACGGTAAGAGTTTTTTTTTCCCGCATGCTGTACGTTATGACACAGTGGTGAATTCTGGGCTTGATTCATCCCCTGTGGCGTTCGTGTGTTCTGGCTGTGTTCATGGTAGGTTCCTCCCAGCTACCAAAGGCACAATAGGTGGGTTTGAGCCCCTGCCTCCTCATTGCTCTGGCTTGTTCTGGGTAGCTCTGCTAATCCAGCCTCAACACAGAAAAGGAACCAGGTGAAGAACATGTTACGGCCAAGACGATGTTTGCAGACTTTCAGCTTGTTGAGGCACTACAGTATCTCTGACACTGTTGTTTCCTTTAAGCACATGAGCATGAAGTTGCAGTGAGGTCTTTTACTTTTCAGGCAATAACCCTGGTGCAATATCATCCTTGCAGAGGGCAATGAGTTGACTTTTTAAAGTTGGCATTTTTAGACGTAGAACTGGAAGGCTGTGGGTTCAAATCCTAGGTAGGATACTGCTGGTGAACCATAAGACTAGATATTGCATTCAGTTTGCCTCAGCTGTACTGTACAATCAGGTAGAAATGTGGGTTGCTTTGGATAAAACATTCAAGTTTGTAATATGATAAACATGACTAGCACTTACTGTTGGGTGTCACCTGACCCCGTTAGAGATGGTAACTCATACCTGCAAACCTCCCGCAAATAAAGTAAGCATAGACATGTTTGCACAAAATCAGGTGGTAAGAAGATGCTTGCCCAGTGTCGGCGATTGACACTGAAAAGCTGGGACAGAGTGAAAACAAGGACGGTTACTCTGGATCATCTGGTGTTGCAGGTAACAAGTTGTGCAGGAGGTTCTTTGACAACAATACAAAGCCAACATAAGCACAGTGACCCCTTGGTTTAGAGAGCATGAAAAAGGTTTTCTGGGCCCTCACTGTATCTAGTAGATGATGACATTAATTGAAGAAAGCGGATCTCAAGCACAGGTCGCGCCACCCAGCTGGGGAGGTCCTGCAGCAGGGTTGCGGTTGGTTGTTCCTCAGCTGGAGTTTGAAAGCCTATTAAAAAGGCTCCACGTAGTGTACGCTCGAATCTGTCCTGCCAGGGCAGGGTGCGCAGAAAGGGTGCCGCCAGGCCATGCATGAAACTTGATCAGACGTTTAGAAATGTAAAGGTGAAGTTCGTGTTGAAACTGAAAAGTGGAAAGAAGACGTGCCACATTAACGGCGTTGAGCCTTTCTCAGGTTCACGCCTGGAATTAACCCTTACTTGTTCCTCTTCCAGGCACTCCCCCTGTGCTGCCGCCCAGTCGAATTGTGGAAATGTATTGTAGCTGATTTTGGGAGGTGTTGAATTTATTGCTTTGACAGCCATACTGGTCTTTAATTTTTTATTTGTCTGTTACATGTGGTCCCGATGTTCACATTAAGTCAGCCGTTAAAGTTTTTTCCAAGGTCATGAACACATTTCGAAGCTACTGTACACTATTTAGTAGTACCAGCTGACCTCTACATTTTTTTCCCCACAGGTCCATAAGATCAAATCTGCTTATGTGGATGGAATTCTTTCATGCATGAGTAAGGTAAGTTAGATATGTGATGTAACCTCACTTGCATTTCATTAAAGGCTTCAAAATATGTCAATATGTGATTTATGGGGACTTAATATTTTAAATATCTGTACGTCACTGACATTTTGTGAAGTTTACCAGCTTTACTTATGGAAAATGTACTTTTTTCTGTTGGATTTTGGAGCTTTACCTCTTCATCTGGGCTCTGATATAGTCCTGGTGTTCTCAGTGCTTGGGGGGCAAGTGATGGTTTTAAGTAAGTGAGCTGGAATTATCTGGTACCATGTATACTTCCTGTTGACGTTGCTCTTGTTCCTTCTTTTTCAATTGTTTTAGTCATCTCTGGAGCATACTGTATGTATTCTTGTGGTCTTTAGTTACTAAATTTCTTGTAAATGTAAGCAATGGAATTGTGAGAGCCGAGCACCCAGGTGCCACGTTCTGTATAATAAGGAACGTAAAACTTTTTTCTGCCCTGTAATTTTGACTTGTGGGTCTGAAAGGTGCAGGGGATCTGTTACATGCAAGTTTTGAAGTAATACAATGGGGTGTAGCAGGGTGACGTGAGGATTAGCATTGCTCTCTCACAGCGCTGGGCCCTGGGTTCAGTTCCAGACCTGGGGTGCTGTCTGCGGGGAGTTTGTGTATTCTCCGCTTCTTCATGTGTTCCAGTTTCCCTCCCGCAATCCAGAAACACACTGGCTCCTGGGAAGGTTCGCCCTGGTGGTAGTGCCTGCCTGTGTGTGCCCTGCGATTGAGTAGTGTCCTGACCTGGACCTGTGTCCGTTGATTGCTGGGATAGGCTGCAGCTCCTCTTTGACCCTGAGTTGAAGACGTGGTTAGAAAATGGACAGAACGGGGTGTAAATAGTAGATTCAGGTGTAATTCCAATGCTTCATCAACATAATTGGCAGCATACCAGACATTTTAATATAACCCCAGCCTCAGTTGAAGAAAAAGGCTGTTATTGACTGCAGAAAGCATCTACTTTGTCAGCTTCATTCCTCCAAAAGCCTCCTTTGCTGTAAAATCACACCAGACCAAACCCACTCTCCTTCATTGGAAGGAGAAAAGCTATAAACGCCAAGATATCAGAGTCCGAGACAAGTCAGGTTCATTTTTAGCCTCTGGGAAGAGGTTTGGTGCTTCTGCTAATCAAGCCATGTTGTTATATAGAAATACTTTTTAAAAATCCTTTTTTAATATTATTGTTACTTTTATAGGAAACATAAAACCTTATATTATTGCAAACATTAAGGATAGACTCTAAATTGCTAGACTGTGCCCAGATCATGTTAAGGGATATCCCATCAGTGTTGAAAATGAGCTGAGTACTGTGCTGTCTTACGCACTCTGACTCATTGAAGTCATCCCCTATTGCAGGTTAAAGAGCATTAATGTTTGGCTGTAATTTCTTTAAGCTCTCTCCTCAAATATTCAGACTTAATATTTTTTTGCATTTAGGGGTGAATAGCAGTACAGGGACAGCACCCACTAGAATTGGGTAAATGTTTTAGCTACGGCGTGTTTTCTTATTTCACTGTAACGACGGTTCTTGTGAGCTGCTGTTATCCAGAAAGGCAGTGAGTCCCTATGTGACATGACTCAGCCAGCCCTGCTGGCCCTGCTGGATGCACCATCACCACTGCGGGCTTTGGGACACGTGGCCAGTTGCTCAGTTCATTCTGCACTTGCGTCATCTGCTTACAGACCCCTCCCCTGAGACCCCCTCCGTGGCAAGATTAACCCACACAAGCAGTGTGTTTTTACTGGGGTTCAATACTTACAGTAGACAGGTTCCCCATGACATTAGAAACTGTGAGGGAGGAACAGAAGAATGATCATCTAGTGGCGAACACTAGATGGCAGCAGGAATCCTCATCAGTTCTCCCACAAGCAGCAACATGGAATAAAAACAGTGGCCACTAGGTGTTAATGGTGGGTTGCTTTAACAATTTAAAAAGTTGGAGCCTGATTTAAACAAGCTACCAATGAATTTGTTTGTAGATAATTAGGTCTAGGCGATCTCCTATTTACTATATATAGGTTTGTGGCACCAGGAGCATTAAGAGATAGTTTGTCATTAACTAGTTGCACTTTCCATGGCATGCTGCACACAGCAGTTTATACTGTATATTTTGCCAACCTGTCTGGTTATCCTCTTCCGCAAGTCAGAGCATCCCTAAGGTGCACAGGAGAGGTGTCTTTATACTGTAGGTAAGGCATGAATTGTAAACTTCTTTTTAAAGAATTTGGTTTTATTTTTTCCCCACCACTCTGCAGAAGAGCCGGTCTCAGTGTGTCTGCATGGCAGCCTGTTCTAATGGAGTCTGTTTCATT